GCTTTTACCAGACAATTTAACAATTGATTCGAAAGTGTATTGCCATCGAGTAAACAAATTGAGTAATATCATCCAACAGAAAAGGGGCCAGAATTGATCAACAAAACAGGTATAGTGTTTTACCACGATAATGTAAAATTTCACACAAGTTTGGTAACTCGTCAGAAACTGTTATAACTTAGATGGGACACGCTATCACACCAACCATATTTGCCAGATAGAGCACACACAGATTATTACTTATTCTGGTCTATACAAATTTTTTTTAACTGTAAGACATTTACTTGAAATGACAATGTCAAAAATCACTTGGATCAGTTTTTTGTAGGCAACGATCAAAACTTTTATGAATGTGAAATCACTCTACTATCAGAAACGATGACAACAGGTATTTCACCAAAATGGTCAATATATAATTCAATAAAATATTTATTTATTATTAAAACATTGTGTGTTTTTCCACAGAAAAAAACGAAATTACTTTCCGAACAACCCAATACTACAATTATGCAAATGATGTGCAAGATATTTAGAGTAGAACATTGGAATTCTGTCTGAAAATGAGGAATGCTTTAAAACTGCTTATCAGAGTCTGTGAATTATTACTCCATTACTCTGAGAAATATTACTCCATTAATTAAAGAAGTTTGTTATATACATTTCACTTTTTAATCTGTTATCATAACAGCAAACTTAACAAACTTACATTAAGTAACAAAAGTCAGGAGGTGGAAAACAGGCAGTTTCCAAATGTTCTGCCATGGTCTGTAGGCAGAAGAAATCATCTTTCTCCGTGGACCGAATCCGGAAATCTGGCAGTCGATTAGGTATATCGACAACGTAAGGTCTTCCTGTCAATTTCTGGAAGATTCCAGACAAGTCTTTCCTTTTGGACCACATAATCTCTTCAAATCTAAAAAAAACTATCCAGAGATTAAAAACAAATTATATTATATTCTGCTTTTTTAGTTCGTTGACATTAATGGAAAAAAGCAAATTTTTAATAGTTTTATATGAAAAATTTAATCTTTAATCTTACTTCCTATTTCATTAAGAGAAATCCAATAAATCATTGTCAACTTACCCAATCATACCAGCAATATAGATAACACGGAGATAATTTTAATTTTATTGAGATATGTTGAATTTGTTTACAGTAGTTATATTTTTGGTTTTTTAACATTTATCTATAAAAAATTATGTAAAATATTTTCAAAATTTGCAAGGTGAACTTAAGAGATTATTAAAAAAAAAAAGAACAAAAAGTTTGACTTATGTTCATATTTAATGAAAACTTCAGGAGCTATTAAGTATGTGTACAGTTTAATGGGGAGGGGTTGTGAAAAGTACACACTATATGATGGGAAGAGAAAGAGTTGAGACCTTGTTTACACGGACTTTTTTAGTGGTATTAGTGGCATACACTTGTAAGTCTATTTGCTATTCAGGTGAATAAAATATCAGTTTAAAAAATATTTCAAAAACTACACTATCAGAAGGTCTAAAAACTATCATACACATAATTATAGTAGTAGAAAGTTTGGCAAAAATACATTATTGTACATGACAGAGAGAGAATCAAAACTGGCTAAAAAAAACTACATGTAATTGGACTGTTTATTTTGAAAGTGGTGTAAGTCCATTTTTTCTTCTTTCGAGATATTTAAACATTTGCATTTTAGTTGATTCAAAAATATAAACAAAGTGTACTAAGTTTGACAATGTTTCTATGACTTTAGAAATATGTAAGTTGATTGCATAAAGACTTCTATGTGAATTTATCCAAACTAATATATTCTTTCTTGGCCATAAATGGACTTACACCACTTTCATAATTACTAAACTGTAAAATTCATTAAATTTCTATTATGTAAAACTCAATGTCACTTGAAACACATTGCGTTTTATTCTGATTTTGTTCATATATAATAACAAGAAATAAAATAGTATTGTTTATTCTGAACATTAAAAATATTTACTTATTGTTAAACTATTTTATGATAAATTTATCATTATTATGAGCTTACCATTAGACACTGCTTTTCATTTAGATTCATTACATGGATTTTTTTCTAGTCCATCAAATTGTACATTTGTTGGTAATATTTACAGTTTTACTCTTCTGTTGTAAGGGGCTGTCTTTAAATGATGTCCACACTGAAAGGGAGGGAGGGGTTAAGACAAGTTGGACAAGGAGGGTTGAGTATTAGTGGACATCCATTTATTTCATTAAATTTTATACAATATGCATTTTATTATATTTATTTCAAAGTTTCTTGTATGTTTCATTTCTACTTATGGTATCTATCATTCATAAAGTGATGAAGGTTTTAACAGGGATAGAGTTATGTTGGACATCCATAGAGGGAAAGGGGTTACAAAAACTTGGACAAACTGGGACAAGAGGGGAAAGTAAAAATTTCCAGAAAAATGCACATGTAATTTATGGATAGCCCAAGTGCTTAGACTGTAGAAAATGGACTTACACCACTTTCAAAATCAATGGTTATGCAATGTCATTTACCGATAAATTTTCAATTCATCAAAGCTTATGGTTATTTTAAAATGTTAAGTGTAAATTGTTTATAAATAAAAAGTTCACACTAAATTGTATGTATATTATGTGTTTTCTCAATTTTTTCCAAAAATGGACTTACACCACTTTCAAAATAAACGGTCCAATTAATGAACAGTCCCTCAAACCTAGCAATATCAACATTAACTGCAACATTAACATTTTCTTCTATTTCAAATTCAGAAAAAGTAAATTCTATTTCGGAAAAGGTAAATTTATTTGCAGATAAAGTTAACATCAAAATTATTTTTGCTTAAAATCAAACAGTAATTAGTCAACTTGTGGAGTGGAATGCAATCAAATTACCGTATTTTAAATTGTGAACAAATCACCAATTGTCAGATAACAATTAACCGAAACACATATGTAACTTATATGTACCGTAGCATACCAAAAGAAACAGATGAACACCAAAGAAAATTTTATATTTAATTACAACAAAACCAAATTCCCAGGAACGACACGGTCTGTTCTTACGATTGCAGGAAAAAGGTCTTTGTACACTGTTACATTGCATAAGCATTTTCTGCTAAAGTAATTAACTATATTCCTAAACCATCCCAACATAAAAACATTCCATTCAAGTATATTTTAAAATACATAAAACACAATAAACAAACACATTATAAGATAAGTTTAGCAATATGGTAGCCTTCACACATTAATGTATTCTTGATATACCCGCAATTATTTTTTTGGTCTCCCTCCATCCTGTGAGGGCACCGAAAGAGCCTTTTTAATCACGTCTGTCACGGGTTTGGCCAGATCTGCAACGGGAAAGACCAAACGGCAACAAACATAGACAGCCACATAAGCTTTCCAGCGCCATCCACCCTTATTCAATTCGGAGTCCCCTGGCAGTAGACCAACACCCAAATCCCCGCAATTTATGCAACCTTATTTTAAATCCATAACAGTACCGAGCACTTGACTAATTCTAAGTTGCAGATCCGTTTAATTATGACGACTCATTTTTTTAATTTTGAATTTAAGCTTCTTAATTTGCAATGCAACATAAATGGATTTTTAAACGTATTCGGTGGGAACATAGGCCACCTTCCAATATTCGAATAATTTCTAAATCAATATTTGAGAATTTTAATGTATGCAGTCGATGCCCGATGGCGGATTATTATCAGAAAAAATTTGTTTGTGCAGAAATTAAATGCCGAATATTAAAATTCAATTATATTAGCATTATGACAAGCTTTTCCTTTTTCGCTAGACTTATTACACTGTCAGTCAGATAGAGGACAAACTGATGGTGTAATAAGTCTAGCAAAAAAGGAGAAGCCGTCATATTGCTATTATAATTGAACACAAGACTAGACAAGAAGCGTATTACAAAAAACGAATATTAAAAGTTTCGTTTCGGTTGCCGAATCCCGGATTCGAATCTAGAACTTGCCACACAAACTCACCAGTTTATAAATATTCAGTTTTACCTTTTAGTATCATCAAGAAAATAATAAATAATGCGAAATACGTGAAATATCGAAAAAAGAATTAATCAAATATTCGTTTCGAACAATTTTGTCAATTCTCTGATGCAGTGCGAATCGATGTCGATGGATTTTTGAGTTTTTGGTTTCAGTTTCGGTTCTATTATTCCTTCGGTTAAACTAAGTTACGAGAAAGAGGAATTCCGATTTACGATTCTATAATTAGTATGGGAGATTTTGGATTATCGTTTGTCGCAGTTTACCTTTTTATTTTCTTATTTTTCGTCTAAGAAAACTCTTACGGCTCTCTTCGTACAGTACATTTAAATTCCCACTTCTATTGTACCGCGCCCTCTTTCGGAATTCTACGATTAAAAAAAAGTAACGAATGCGAGTGACCGTTTAAATATTCCATTTTATTATTATCCTTAAGATATTTTTTCTAAATAAAAAATTATAACGTTACTCTATCATATATCGTGTACTGGATTTATATTCGAGCTTCCGCAGGCAAACTCTATACTCTCTATGTCGAGTCTGTAGTGTCGATCGGGCACTTCGCTGTAATGTTTTACCCGTTTGTGAAGTGGAAATCGGAGTTCGAATCCGGTCCTAATACGGCCGTCGAGAGGGAAGCTCGGAATTTTTTTCCGTCCCGGAGAAAGACGACCGCTAATAGATTTTAATCGTTCGGAGCCGGAGATGGCCGAAAGGTTATGATGTATACCGCTCCGGAGGATCCGGGATAAAATTCGGTCCTCAGGAGCGGACCTGGTACATCGACGCTGCTTTCCAAAATGCCTCGCTATCTTCTATTTCATTAATTCCTGGTATTTGATTATCTCTGCAACATCACCTTTTTGGATTGACTAAAAGATCGCTCTGCCGCATTTATTTATATTTGCAACAGTCCTAAAATGCAATTTTACTTTTTTATTTTATTTTATTATCTTTAATTTTTTACTAAATTTTTGTAGTCTAAGGCTCCGACTCATTCTTTTTTCCGCCAACAAGCAAAAAAAAAAAAGTAGCTAAAGGCGACATCCCAGATCTACACTCAGGCCGGTATTTAAATTGACATTATTCTGCATAACGATTGTGTGGTGTCCTTATACAGTACACAATTTTTACGTTATTTATATCGATATTACAATTATTTTCGCATTGGCGACAATAATGAAACCGTGGCAAAATATTATTTTTAATTGTATTGTCGCCATATTCTCTGGTAGCCGCTATCCCAACTGGCGCTTAGTTTCTCCAACATATTAGAGAGGTTGCGGCCGAGGTTTTCATCTGTAAAACGTGGACGTCGAACGTTGAGCGCTGCCATCTTGTAAGCCTAGAAGTTTGATAATGGCGCTTGAAACGTCGTTGAAATCATGCTCGACGTTCCAAACGCCATTGTCAAACTTCTAGAATTACTAGATGGCGGCGCTCGACGTCCGACGCTCACGTTTTGGGTTGAAAACGTCGGCCGCAACCTCTCTAATCTAAAAGATTCAGGTGTGGCATGTAAAATATAAAATTCCTCGAGATTTTGTTCACTTACTGATAAGCCGTGAACGAGCTGTGATGTTAATTATACACTTGAAAATAATTTTGAATTTACACGAATAGGCGAGAAAGTACTGTTTAGCTTATAAAAAAATCAACTTTTGCAAGAAATTATTTAAATTTATATTTTGACCGATTAAGTTGACAAATATAAAAGATACGTACTACACAAGTAAAATAACATATTAAATGTTTTATTTTTAACATGAAGTGACATTAAACTTTAGTACATTATTTGTAAAGTGGTACAGTAGCATTGCTTTAATAAAGTTTTAAATGAAGCAATACACAAACAGCTGAATCTATCGTTATTTTTTTTTAAATTACTAAATAATACGTTATTAATTTCGTGGAAAGGCGTGCAGAAGTACTTTACATATTACAGTAGAGCCTCGATTATCCGATCCCCTATCAACCGACCCCTCGGTTAACCGACCGTCCTAGTCGGCAAATTTCAAATGTCCGCTATTGATGTGGCGCTACAATATTTGGCTATGTCTTGGCTACTTTAATATTATTTTTACGTGTTTTAGATGGCNATTTGATAAATATTTAATTAAAAATAAATAAATAAACAATTGCTTTAATAAACATATTTTTCTTAGTAATAAAAAAAATAGTATACTTTCGTTAACTTTTGGAACTTAACCCTTTGACTAGTCCAGTGTTTCATATAGCATGGATTTGCATAACATGGCACTTTTTTGGAAAGTAACTGCCGTGTTATACAAGGGATACCTGTATATTGTATTTTAAGTTTTGAATATTCATTATCACTTATTTGAAAGTGTATAGCAATTTGCTCAGAATTTATCCCTCGACCAATGCAGATGGAAAACATTTAATTCAATGTTTGATGATTGTTTGTATGGCTGAATTTCTTCTAATTTCTTTCAATATGGCAGAGAGGTTTTTTTCTCATCATTAGGTGTTAAAAAATAGTGATAGTCTGGTGTTTAATTAAAGTCAAATAATAAATAAAATTAAATTTGTGCAAATATAAATTTATTAAATTTTTCTGATAAGTATGTTACAATTGTCTCTTCTTCGATTTATTAACTAAACTTGAAATATTTTGTTTGACCACATCCTATTGTATTAATAAATTTATTGTATTATTGTATTTTATTTGTATTTATTGTAATTTATTGTATTTTACTAGTTTTTAAGATGATTAACCAATCTTCCATTTTTCATATGGATAGTGTCTTTTCTACACAGATTTTTTGGGTGTAAAAGCAGAATTGGGTGTATACAGTAATCAAACACAGTTGAAATTAATGAGCTGAACTGCATTATTGTATTACAAGTCTAAATTACATATAAAGATGAAATGGAAGTCTGAATAGCAAACGACATAACATATCAACCTGATTGTTCAAACTGCAGATTCAACTTCTATTCTTCTTGACATTTATAGAAAAGCTACTAATTAATTTAATCCATGAGAAAGTTAACATTGCAGTCCAATTAAAAAGAAAACATATTACAGAAAAATTATGAATTTTTTGAATATGTAACTTGAATTTTAAAAAGTTTAACTTCCTTGTTTGGAAGTTAATAAGCTAATAAATATGCTTAATATTATCTTGAATAAGAGAAATTATGTAGAAAATTACATTGATAGCACTAACAATTAAAACTCACCTTGTTTAACAGTTTTCAATAAGATGACAAAACAATATTGTATATGATATTCATTTTCAAATAAATATTGTAGAATTTGTTTCAAATAATGCACTGAGAGAAGAGGGTTTACAAATACAAAATAATGTAAGAAAATTGCATTTATAAACTTAAAACTATGATCCCTAACTTGACTATTCAACCACTGTATCCAAGATGATTCGTCTACTCCTTTAGGATAAATTTCTGGAAAATCCATAAAAGTCGCATGACCGAGAATTTCGTCATTTTTACCAACAACTGTATACATCAAATTTGCCATCTCCCTATTAGAAAAAAAATGTTTTATTATTATATTGATATAAAAAACTTTATATATTCCACATGCGTATAAATTTGTAAAAAGTACAAAAATAATATATAAATGTAAAGGAAAACTTTCTTAAAACATTTTGATTAGCAAATGCAATTTTCTGGAAACTCACAAATTAACAATGACATATAAAATACATTTATATCATTCATTTTTTCATAAATATAATTTAAACTCTCTGATATGCACTGTAGAGCATATCACAGAGATTAAATTATACCAATAGATGCGCAACACTTTTGCACTTTTGTTGTAACCCAATCCAACTTGCAAGGCATTGACAATGACAATGCCTTGAGTCAACCACATTCATTACTGCAACCCATTGGATACTGTGTACAGCAGTTTCTGCAGCAACATTTTACTAATAATAGAATTAATCATGCATTTCCTACTACCTGATCACCTCATTCTCTCAATCTTAATTCATTTAATTAATTCATGTAATTTTGGTTGTGGAGACAAAAAACATGGTTTATTGAAAACATGTTGCAAATTTAGCAGCCTTGAAAGACAATATACCACTGCATGTAAAAATCATCACAGAAGATCAATTATAGGTAATAATTGATCACACTGTTCACTGTCTACAAGTTTTGCACCTTCAGAATGAAGACTACATTGAGCAGTATTTTCAACATCTGTAAGGTCTCTCTGTAGCAAAATATTTTCAACTTTGCAAACATTTCACCAGAAGTTGTATTTCTCAAATGCAATGGAATTCAATTTTCTTGCAAGCAACAAACATTGTACAAATAAAATGTTTCTTGCTTGCAAGAAAATTGAATTCCATTGCATTTGAGAAATACAACTTCTGGTGAAATGTTTGCAAAGTTGAAAATATTTTGTGAGTTGTACATCCTAAATTATCTTTATTCAAATTATAATTGCAATTCAAATGTCAAAACATTTCTGATCTAAAATATATCTTTAATATATGATATATTACGTATGCCATTGCTACTAGTGGATATATTATTAAGAAATATATCAAAGATGTATTTCTTAATAACATATACACTAGTAGCAATGATATACATTAATATCCCCTGGTGCCATTTAAACCTGGGCCAGATCCAAGTATAAAGTATCCATTTGATTGTAATTGTGGACAAAGAAAAACATATATAGGAGAAATCAAAAGAAAATTAAAAATATCTATAAAGGAACATATATAAGTGCCATTAAAGGAAATTGTGCAAATTTGGCAGTAGCAGAACACTGCAATAAAAATGGATGCAAAATAGATTTAAATATGGTTAAAATAAAGAAAAAAGAAAGAAATAATTTTAAAAGATAACTATATGAACACATTGACATAAAAAGACAAAACAATAGAATCAATAACTTGGGAAGAGAAATTCATCAATCCTGGAACAGTATCATCGACAGGGGGAATAATAGATGGAGAGATTTATAGAGGAAATTAAATTAATGAAAAAGTAATTGTACAAGCAAAAGCAAGCGAAGAATAAGTAAGTTTAAGTAAATGTTTTAACCATCATTTTTAAATATTTTATTTTTAAATTTATGTTTATTGTATACAGGTTTATTGTTTGAATATGATACAAATTTTTCTGTTAATTTATTTAAATCTCAATGTAATAAACTACCAAAAGACTGTATGTCATTTTAATTGTATTATTGTCAAGAAAATTTTAGAATATTTTTGTAATTTTATAAAATCCTGTTTTAGCACCTTGTAGATGTAAACCTGCTGATGAGGGACCTTAAAATCCAAAACAAAAATAGTGTACACAGGTGAAATACCAGGTGAACAATAAAGAGTGTTTTTCTGAATAAGTTTCCTCAATTTGCAGAAACCAGACACCAATACAATAAATCCTAATAATACAATATGTCCTAGTAGACATCTATGTAACAAATTGTAAATAATTTGTTAAATAAAGCACTATTTTGTCATTGTATACTTTTATTTAATAAAAATATTAGCAAGTCTGTCCATAAATGATATCCACACTGGAAGGGGGAGGGAGTTAAGACTAGTCAGATCAGGGGGAGGAGAGGAGGTGAACTTCGGTGGACATCCATTTATTTCATTAAATTTTATAGTTTTTGTATTTTATTATATTTATTTCAAAATTTCTTGTGTGTTTCATTTCTATTTATGATATCTAGCATTTATAAATTGATAAAGGCTTTAAGGGGGATCAAGTTTTGTTGGACATACGAGGGGGGAGGTTATAGAAACTTGAACAAACTGGGACAAGAAGAGGAGAGGGAGTAAAATTTATAAGGAAAATGCAGATGTAATTTATGAACGCTAGCCTCCAAGAGCTAACCTCTCTTGCCCCTAAAGTCCAGCCACAGTATATATCTAACTTTAGAAATAGTCATTAATTAAACTAGCATCATCAACAAACAAAAGCAGTTATCAATAGGATGACTATCATGCCAAAATATTGTATAATAAAATAAAGACACAGCTAGCTTGCACTTCATGGAGCTAACTGCTCATTCAGTTTTCAAATTTTATTTGAATATTTGTTTCATGTTCTTAACAGCTTTGACAAAGTTTCAACTTATATTTTATGCATTCTATTCTACATCGGATTATTTCCGTTTAATTTTTCGGTAAATCTCTGTATTCGCCTGTTGATGACAACTAGCAGTTCGTTGAAAGTGCTTGCGCTAAGAAAACGTATGCATGTAACGCCAAACTCAGTGTCTTTATTTTATTAAACAAAAACAGTTACATATTATATATTTTTATTCTCATAAAAACACTTCATTTCTAAATATACTACACTCCAAAAATTAAATATATAATAAAATGTGTTATGAAGAAATAGTTATAAATTCAGATTCTGGTGAGTGTTTTTAAGCCATAACTCATCTTCATATATCAATATTCCAATCTTGTAATATCACACATGTATCTAAAAATCATGTATAGTTGCTACTGAGCATCCTTTGCATAATTATTGGGTTGTTCGAAAAGTAATTTCGTTTTTTTATCACTAGATGGATTAGTTGTATTTTTCCTGCCATTTTCATTCTAAACCGCATTATCATTATACATTTTGACAGCTAGCATTTTAAGGCTTATTTCTAAAAAATTTTGTTTGATTTTGTGCAATTGTTTATTTTTTGTGTCCCATCAAATATGGAAGGTCAAAAGTAGAATTTTCGGCATATTTTGCTCTTTTATTACCGAAAAGGTAAGAATGCTGTTCAAGCGAGAAAAAAAATGTGTGACATGTATGGAGATGTACTGACAGAACAACAGTGCCAAAACTGATTTACAAAATTTTGTTTTGGCAATTTCAATATTGAAGATGCACCACGTTCTGGATGGCCAGTTGAAGCCAATGAAAACAAAATAAAGGTACTGATTGAAGCAAACTGCCAAACAACAACACGTGAAATCACTAAGAGATTAAATCTGTCAAATTGAACTGCTTATGATTACTTGAAACAAATTGGTTTTGTTTCAAAGCTTGATATATGGGTTCCATATGCTCTTTTTGGTGGGATTTTAAGGAAATTTTTTTTTTTGGCGCTTTTACTAGACAATTTAACAATTGATTCGAAAGTGTATTGCCATCGAGTAAACAAATTGAGTAATATCATCCAACAGAAAAGGTGCCAGAATTGATCAACAAAACAGGTATAGTGTTTTACCACGATAATGTAAAATTTCACACAAGTTTGGTAACTCGTCAGAAACTGTTATAACTTAGATGGGACACGCTATCACACCAACCATATTTGCCAGATAGAGCACACACAGATTATTACTTATTCTGGTCTATACAAATTTTTTTTAACTGTAAGACATTTACTTGAAATGACAATGTCAAAAATCACTTGGATCAGTTTTTTGTAGGCAACGATCAAAACTTTTATGAATGTGAAATCACTCTACTATCAGAAACGATGACAACAGGTATTTCACCAAAATGGTCAATATATAATTCAATAAAATATTTATTTATTATTAAAACATTGTGTGTTTTTCCACAGAAAAAAACGAAATTACTTTCCGAACAACCCAATACTACAATTATGCAAATGATGTGCAAGATATTTAGAGTAGAACATTGGAATTCTGTCTGAAAATGAGGAATGCTTTAAAACTGCTTATCAGAGTCTGTGAATTATTACTCCATTACTCTGAGAAATATTACTCCATTAATTAAAGAAGTTTGTTATATACATTTCACTTTTTAATCTGTTATCATAACAGCAAACTTAACAAACTTACATTAAGTAACAAAAGTCAGGAGGTGGAAAACAGGCAGTTTCCAAATGTTCTGCCATGGTCTGTAGGCAGAAGAAATCATCTTTCTCCGTGGACCGAATCCGGAAATCTGGCAGTCGATTAGGTATATCGACAACGTAAGGTCTTCCTGTCAATTTCTGGAAGATTCCAGACAAGTCTTTCCTTTTGGACCACATAATCTCTTCAAATCTAAAAAAAACTATCCAGAGATTAAAAACAAATTATATTATATTCTGCTTTTTTAGTTCGTTGACATTAATGGAAAAAAGCAAATTTTTAATAGTTTTATATGAAAAATTTAATCTTTAATCTTACTTCCTATTTCATTAAGAGAAATCCAATAAATCATTGTCAACTTACCCAATCATACCAGCAATATAGATAACACGGAGATAATTTTAATTTTATTGAGATATGTTGAATTTGTTTACAGTAGTTATATTTTTGGTTTTTTAACATTTATCTATAAAAAATTATGTAAAATATTTTCAAAATTTGCAAGGTGAACTTAAGAGATTATTAAAAAAAAAAAGAACAAAAAGTTTGACTTATGTTCATATTTAATGAAAACTTCAGGAGCTATTAAGTATGTGTACAGTTTAATGGGGAGGGGTTGTGAAAAGTACACACTATATGATGGGAAGAGAAAGAGTTGAGACCTTGTTTACACGGACTTTTTTAGTGGTATTAGTGGCATACACTTGTAAGTCTATTTGCTATTCAGGTGAATAAAATATCAGTTTAAAAAATATTTCAAAAACTACACTATCAGAAGGTCTAAAAACTATCATACACATAATTATAGTAGTAGAAAGTTTGGCAAAAATACATTATTGTACATGACAGAGAGAGAATCAAAACTGGCTAAAAAAAAACTACATGTAATTGGACTGTTTATTTTGAAAGTGGTGTAAGTCCATTTTTTCTTCTTTCGAGATATTTAAACATTTGCATTTTAGTTGATTCAAAAATATAAACAAAGTGTACTAAGTTTGACAATGTTTCTATGACTTTAGAAATATGTAAGTTGATTGCATAAAGACTTCTATGTGAATTTATCCAAACTAATATATTCTTTCTGGGCCATAAATGGACTTACACCACTTTCATAATTACTAAACTGTAAAATTCATTAAATTTCTATTATGTAAAACTCAATGTCACTTGAAACACATTGCGTTTTATTCTGATTTTGTTCATATATAATAACAAGAAATAAAATAGTATTGTTTATTCTGAACATTAAAAATATTTACTTATTGTTAAACTATTTTATGATAAATTTATCATTATTATGAGCTTACCATTAGACACTGCTTTTCATTTAGATTCATTACATGGATTTTTTTCTAGTC